GCAATGTGTTCATATGGTCCTATGTTGTAAAAATTTCCAAGGCAAAAATATATTTTTGTATGTCTTTTCCTTAACAGCTTTTCTTCCTGCTGTCTCCCTGCCCCAGGAGATATAAGCTTCAGGCCCCACAAAGCTTGGACCCTTACCAGATGGGAAAAAAAAGACACACACACCTAGACAAACTTTCACTGAGTTTATTTATTCTATTGTTAACTAGAAAAGTGGTTCTCAGGGCCGAGCCCGTGGTACACCCGGGAGAGTGCGGGGCTGGGAGTGCAGCAGCGCTCCCGCCGCGGGTTTGGATCCTATATAGGAATGACCTGTGTGCTCGCAGTGTGGCTGGTCTCAAAAAGGACAAAAAAAAAAAAAAGAAAAGAAAAGAAAAGTGGTTCTCAAACTTCGATATGTCTACAAATATCAATAAATCTTTAAATGCAGGTTGTATATTAGTTTTGGGGGGTAGGGCCTGATTCTCTGATTTCTAATAATCTCCTTCTTGCTGTCAATTTTGCTGTCAATTTTGCTTTGAGGATTACCTTTCCTTTAATGGTAAGAGAATATTGAGCAGAAACGGTATCTTCTAGATATCTACACCTCAATCCATGTTTTATTGCATTTTATATCCCCTGACTTTTGCCAGTAAGACAGTATAGTCCTTTTCCCCCAAACTTTAAGTAGTGGAGCAGATGAGGATGGGGCAGCTCAGAGACAATCAATAAAAATACTTCAATTTTATCAATGGTTTCCTATATCCAATCCTCGAATAAAAATAAACTTTCTTTCCCTTTCACTACCTATTTTCTGTAGGTGTCAGCCTGGAGAAAAATTGGCTCATCTCACCTGTAATCCCTCTTCATGCTTTCTGACCTCCTTGGTTGGAGTTGCTTATAATACCCAAAGACAGGGTCTCATTTAGCTCACCACTGCCATGTAATTTCCTGATTTGCCTCAAGGCCAGGTGGTTCTGAGAGGATGAAAACAGGTGAGAGAAATAACAAGGGTCTCATCCATTCCAGCTTTCCTCACCACTTCCTTGTTCCCGGATCTCAGTGCCTGAGCAATGTCCATAATCACTGAAATTCCACGAAGATGTATGTTTCCCTTTGTTGCCTTGGAACATGTATATGCATTCCCTAGTTATGTCTCCTCCCAGTTCCCCATC